TAACAGATTGTTTTATAGTGAAACATTTATCTTCTGCATCAAAATTGCAGCATAAACATAAATATATTGAGATTTCATAAATTCCAGCACACTGCTTGAGAAGGAGACTAAGAGAAAGCATTGTCATAAAATACATTTAGACCATGAATTGATTTTCATCCTAGAAATATAACCACCATATAAAGAAACACTATCACCACCATCAACTACAATGCTCTACTGAATGACAGATAGACAAGATTATCAATTAAAGTCATAATTTTAACATTTAGGAAATGGAAGCTCAAAATGGGGTGCCAATCTCACTCCTTGTCTCTGTGGGGCTGTACAAAGTGGATCTATTCCTTGGTCTGTTCTCCTCCAACTGCTTCACAACTTCATCCATGGAGGGTCTAACCGAAGCAACCGGAGCACAGCAACCCATTGCAAGTTTCAGTGCCTGAACCAAACCTTCTTCCATGGGACTCCTTACCCCCTTCAACACCTCCACATCGAAAACCTCCAATGTTGTCTCCTCCAAAACCGCAACTTTCACCATCGATGGCAAATCCACAAACTCACCACTCCTCCCAGTTTTACCAGGCTTCTTGCCTATTAAAACCTCCAGTAGCAAAATTCCAAATGCATAAACATCTGTCCTGGAATTACATTTCTTCATCTTTTGAAGTTCAGGTGCCTTGTAACCATCATTCTTTGCGACGGTCACCATTTCATCAGCTACGGAAGGGATCATAAGCTTGTCAAGCCCAAACTCAGTGAGCCTAGCTACAGAAAACTCATCCACAAGCACATTCTTAGATCTTACAGTCCCATGAGTAATAGGCGTTTCAAGACCAGTATGAAGATAAGCTAGTCCTCTAGCTATACCCAATGCAATCTTGTGACGCCGAGCCCAGTTCAGCACAGGTTTGCCTGCTCTGGTTTCTGCATCCAACCAAAACAAATGAAAAGTTAGTTAAATGAATCTGCAGTGAGTGTCCACAAGTAACCAAATAGTAGAAAATAACCTGTCGACTCTTTCC